GATCGACAAGATCGTCTCATGCTAGGTTTGTTAGGCCCGGGAAATCAGCCCAGCAAGTGAATGGTGACGTCGGGAGAGCTTATAAACTCGTTGACCTGGACTTATTGTACACAATGCGCCCAAGTCGGAAACAGAATCAGCACGACATATATATGGTTCAGCTGAGGGTGCCGCTCTGGGCTCGATGGCAACTGGACTCAAACCTTGTGAGGCGACTCCATATCTCGAGACAAGCAACTTTATAGCTTCTGAATTGTCAAATCCTCGCGTCGCTCTCTAGTCCCAGCTCGGGGGCATCATGCGGTCGTGTTGCACCTGCTGCCTGCGTGTCTCTGCTCGCTGTGCTGCAGACGCTTGAGCTGACCTTGAATGCAGCTAGGCAGGCGCCCAATAGGCGCGCGAGCAACTGAGCGACCGACAAGAATTGAGCACCCCTAGTGGCCCAATCCTCATCGCCACTTCAAGGCAAGCCGCTGCGTTGTGGCGCCCTCGGCAGACAAGGACACCGGCGTCTATGAGAGAATGCACCTCGCAGCCCCTTGTTCGCTGATTTGTCAAACCCTGTTGATGTTCATGCAGCGATTTTACGCTTATCACTGTAGGTGCCTCTGACAGGGCAGCATGAATATATTACATACTTCCGGAAACTCGGATATCGAGCGTAGGCTTATTACTGGTCTTTAGACACCTTGATGACGATCTTCCCGACATGCTGCTGGCTCTCCAGATACTCATACGCTTCTCGGACATGCTCAAAGTCGAAGACCTTGTCCACAACAGGCTTCAGCTTCACCGCCTCAATCAACCGGATCAAATCTTCAAATCTGTATGTCGACCACTGGTGATCGTCAGCCCACAATCACCAGAAGTTGGCTTAGCTGAACGCACTGTTGACGAGAACCAATGATGACACCGTGCAGGTTGGAACCCTTGCCGTGGACGAGCAAGGGCAGCTGGTTGGTGTCCGCGAGCTGGATGAGTGCAAGTACATCAGTTCCTTTGTGACTCCTTATCAAGCAGATCTTCGCATACCCCCGCCACGAAGCCGATGAGAGCCACATTGCCTCCAAACCTCACCGCCTTTGCGGACTTGACGACCGTACCGGGGCTACCAACCTCGAGGACATGGTCAACGCCGCGGCCGTTCGTGATCTTGAGAACCTCCTCCTCCCAGTTCGGCGTCGTCTTGTAGTTGATCAAGTACTTGGCACCGAGCTTCTTCGCCGCCTCGAGCTTCCTGTCCGAGGACGACGTGACAATGACGGTGGCACCCGAAGCGACGGCGTTTTGCAGACCGAAAATCGAGACACCTCCGGTCCCTTGGATTAGGACAGTGTCGCCACCCTTCAAGGTGGGCTTGCCGCCGAAGAGGCCGTTGTAGGCGGTGACTGCGGCGCAAGGAAGTGTCGACGCTTCCTCGTAGCTCAGGAAATCGGGGATGCGAACAAGAGCCTAGCGGATGGAAGATGACAGCGACACCAGCGGCGTCAGTGAATGCGCCACGACGGGCATAACAAAGCATCTGGACGTACGTGCGCAGGGAAAATCTTGTACTCGGTCAGCACACCGTCGATCGGCGCACCCAGCGTCGACGCTATAGTTTCATCGTTCGCGTCCCCGAAAATATGGTCGAGGGAGAAGTTCACCGACACGCGCTCGCCGACCTTCCAGCCCTTGACTTCTTCGCCGACGGCGAGGATCTCACCCGCCACGTCGGAGCCTGGGACGGGGTTCTTCTTCACAGGGAGTGGGTACGTGCCCTTGGCCACGACGATATCGCGATACTGCAGGTTGGTCCCGAAAGTACATTCAGAAGACGCACACGGATATCCCGGGCGTGGATGAAAGACAAACCTGAAGGGAGACGGCGTGAACCTGTTGGAATCATCAGGAAAAACTCCCCGCGCGAATTCACAGAAAATTAGTGCTAATGTCGACTAATGACGCCCGTGGCAATTGGTGGTCTTATATCTCGAGATTTGCGAGCTGGATAAGTTCCTTGAAGGTAATAATAGGCATACATACTTTACTGCAGGCCCAAAAATCAAGGACTGTATGCTCAGAACACGTACAAGGCAAGAGAGACCATCTCTGCGTCTTTCCAAGTCAATTGAAGCCTGCCCTAAATACGGGCGCTCACACCACAGCCGCATCCCATTGCGCGCTCGACGCTCCGTTGCCACGTCTCTCCTTCCGACATCAGTGTGCCCACCCAACCTTTCCTCCTTCTTTTCACCGCTACATACGGGAGTGGCCAGTTTGACTGGTGGGTGATCTAGTACTAGCGGACATGGTGGTATGAGAGTGATACTACAGAAGCTGGGGTCCAGGTGAGTTGTAAGATACCATGCTGCATAGCAACTCGAAGGTGCGTAATGTACTACATCCGAAGGTAACGTCGTCGTCTGTGGCCTTGCCCAGCCGCACTTTGCATTTCGCGCCTCCAAGAAGTAAGTT